CCCCAAAACCCCAAAACCCCAAAACCCCAGGCTACTATAAAATTAATGAGAATGGCAAATAACAAATTAAAAGGAAATACTCTAAAAATTAAAATATTTAGTTCTACTCAATTAAAACTTATGGTTTAGATAAGCAAAAATTCTGGCATTATTTTCAATATAATATATCTCTAGCTTTTTGTAACATTCTTATGAGCAGAGACATTCGAAGAATTTCTTAAGCCCAGAGCTTTATAGAGCACATGTGAGATAAAGAATATGTATCCTGTCTTTTATGGAGGCACAGCTCATAACATAGTTAGATACTCTGACGCAAGTGCCGATGGAAAATATATAATTATGTGTGGAGAATCTTACAGCTAAAATTTTATTGATAGGTAAATTGAGGCATTTATGCTACTAGTAAATGCTGATGATGGCACTTATATTTGGGGCAAATATTTCCAAGATAATGAGACAAATTCTACGGGATATATTGGATTGATTAACGTTTGCAAATTTTCAAACGGGAACACTTAACAGATTCTTGTTGCTGGCCAGATTAACTTTTACCGACCATTTCTAGGAATCGTTAAAATGGATGGCAGCTTCCAAATCGTATATCAATTTTCTTCTAAAATTGCTAATGATTTTGTTGGCTATACTGCTCTGGCTGTAGATATAGATCAGAGTGGGGCATTGTATGGAGGAATTTACTTTATGGGAAAATCTCTCTAAGTATTTAGATTTAGCACAAAAATAAATAATTTTGAATGGTAGTATCAGGTGGGCCTTGATTTAAACTCTGATTCAATGAATACTCCAACAATGTGCCTTGATTCAACAACTACTAATTTATACATCGCAACAAGCATAAAATTCAATGATACTGCAAGCTATAATGCTTCACTTGATCAAGAGTATTCTAATTCATCCGTAATATAGCTAAAGGCAACAACTGGCGTTCTAAGTTGGTTTAAGAAAAATAAAGCTTTGACATCCTCGGGCAAAATAGAGTGCCTCCAGTACAACTCAGGTATAATAGGATGTGGTTCTTATGTAGCTACAGTCCAAGTCTACAACCTAGGAAAGAATGGAGAGACTCTTTATGACTATGAATTTACAGGTGATAATCCTCAGTTTTGCGCAGGAATATAAGCAACTGATACTTAATTTTTCACTCTAGTTAGCTCTATGTCTTCCTCTTACTCTAATTCAGGCTATGAGGATGCAATACTTATGTAATTTGAATTAAATGGTCGTTTAAAAAAAGGAAGATACCTAACATTTTTTTCAAACTAAAACCTAGGTAGAAATCTAATGATGTTTTCAGATGGATCTTTTGCTTTCGCTGGTAGCACCAGAAAAGTTAAGGGATTCAACTATATTAATCTTGCAATGTTCCTCTATAGGACAAATCCTTTTGATGATTCATCAAGCTATTCTTGTATGAGCATGAATAAAATTCCAAATGATGATGCTTTCGGTTATAATAACAATATGGGTAATTTTGTGGATGCTCTTAACGCTAAAAATCCAGGGCTTAAAATGTATTCTCCAAAAAGTCTAGATTTTACTGTAATCTTGAATCTCTAAAAATGGAACTTAAAAGCTATTTACAAGGCCTATCAATTATGCTTCGCAGTAAGCTTTTACAATCCATATGAAAGCTTCACAGGAAATCAAACAATCATTTATAATGAAAAGTAAGTAGAATAGAACAGAAACAATACAATAGATCCAGACGTCCAAGAGGTATTTTCCAAAGCTCCATATGTCTACTACCTAGGCGAAATTAACTAACATAAAAAATTGGGTGATAAGTTTTATAAGGAACTTAAAAGATCTAGTATGTCCATATCATTGAACACAGGAGATGTTTTACCTAATTTCATAACATATTTTGAGGATAAGCTTATAATAGAGACTAATTAGTAGTCAGATATTGGCTCTTATATGGTAATGTTTACAGGCTGCTACAACAACTCAAAAGCTCTCTATTACTAAGAAGTCATTATAAAAAATAACACAGCTCCCTATTCTAAAATTTAACAGTTTTACTATGAATTTGAGTTAAAGAAAACTTATTAAATTACTATCCCAACAATCTAGGATAAGGAGAGAAATTCTGGGTTCACATTATCTATGTATTAGTCTGATTTCTCAGCTTTGCCTTATTTTTTCAAAGTAGACAGCAGAAATAACATTATAAATATTAATCCTTTATCTAAAATTGATTCAGGTGATTACACCATAATACTGAAGATTGCAGAAACTGATGCACCCTCATATTATTCAGAATATGTGTTCAAATTTAAGATCTTTGATCCAGATACTAGATATAACTAAACATAGGTACACAGTGAAGCTAAGCTTAAAGGGTACATTCAAGACATCTCTGATGATGGCTCAATAAAAATAACATTCAACTAACTTATATCGAAACCACTTTAGTCTTATGCGGAAATAAGAGATAATAATTTTATTAAGCTAAGTGTGTCTGGCCCTCTTGAACCTTATGATTACAACTGGACTGTGTCTAAGATCACAAATAAATACGTCCTAATCAAAGTCCAATTTAAATATCCTAATCAGATTGGCATATACAATGACAAAGAGACAGTAAACATTACTTTTAATCCATTCTTAATTTAAACCATATCTGAGACTGGAAACTACTTGTCTAATTTAAATTACATTACTGATTTCGTTGTAATTGTGAACCCAGACGATCAACTTCTCACTAGCATTATTGGAATATCAGCTGCAATGAAAGGAGTTATTACAATGGTATTGGGATCTTCTGTCATTGCTTAATCTGCTATGTAAATTTAATTTAATTAATAAGCATAGGTCAAACATGATGTCAAATCTTTGGGCGCTGCTTCACAGTCTTTAGATTCTTACATGCTTTGCATTTTTCAATATTAACTTGTTACCTCATGTATATGTATTCTATGACATGCTCATGGCTTCTCATTTTGATATGATACCCTTCAAGGATGCCATTTATCAAAAAATCTATGAAGAGGAGGTCACCTTTATACCTATAAACTACAACTTTAGTTTGTATGGATACGATTCGTAGCTTTGCCTTCTCAATTTAGCAGATGTCTATCTAGTCATTATAATCTTCATTGCCTACTATATTGTATTTAGAGTTCTAGATTATGTTTTAACCAAAATAACTAGATGGAAATTTCCAAAGTAAGTTATCGAAATTTTTTTATCTGACTCACATAATTTAGGGTGTAGAAGTTCTTAAAAGATTCTATTGCAGACTATAAGTACAATGGCATTATCAGACTATTAATGGAAACCTATTTAGATATTGCTATTTTCTCCTACATGAACCTAGTAAAGTTCTATATGAATGATAAGTTAAATATTACCTCAGGAGTCATTTCTATCCTGCTTTTTGTAATAATTTATATATTTTCCTAAACACCATCATACAGATTTATTCAACATTATTCCCTATTTGGATGGCTAATTTTATCCACAAAAACAATAAGAAGATAGAATTAAATGACAAGGAAATTGAGGTTTACAACACAATCGTGATTAATTTGCATAGCATGAGAGTCATGCCTAAATATTTCTCAGAGATATTTCTGATAAGAAGGTTCTTTTACATTTTACTTTTTGCGATTCCACCTGATCTTGTTGATTTCTAGTTAAGTCTAAATATTGTTTAATGCGTAGCTGTAAGTTAATAAAACTAATTAACATTTATAGTAATTGGGGTATCTGGTAATTGTTAGACCTTATCTGGAAAAGAAGACAAACTTTTAAGAAATAGTCAATGAAATAACTATTTTAACAGTGGCATGTCTTCTTTTTGGATTAACTGATGCAGTAAAAGATTTCTAAACGAAGAATAAAATCGGCTGGATTATAATCTACATCATTCTAGCAAACATCCTCTTTAACTTGATACTTGTCTTTTGGATAGTTGGCTTGACGATAAGAGATAAGATTAGAGAATGCAGGAAGAAAAAATACTAAGATAAGAACTAAGATCCTCTTGATGAGAGAGATATGGATGATCATCACAAGGCAACTGAGGAAAAATTAAAAGGAACCTTTAAAGGAGGGATAGATCTTAGTAGAACTAAACACACTGATGATGTTATGATTTAAGATTATGAGGAATCAAAGATTGACGAATCAATCGACATTGTATTGAAAAGGAACAAATAGATATTTAACACAGCTGATGTTCGTCTAAGTAGTAGGGCTTAGATAGCATAAAAGACCAAAATATATCAGGGAGATGTTACAATCGGCCTTGAAAGTAATAATGCTTATAATATCTAGGATGAATTCGAATAAGATATCAAGACTCTTGATTTATACAAACAAAAAAAGCAAATATAGAAAGATTAAGTCAAAGATATCAAACATGAAATGGAGACTCTCAACCTAAATAAAGAGACAATCTTTAAATACAACACTTAAAATACCCAGCATTCCTAAAATAATTCGCCTCCAGAATAAAGTGCCTAAAAGTTGGATATAAATGAGTTTAAGTAAAGAACACAGAAATTTAAGAAATTGGCATAGAAAGATAAAAAGATTAAAATAAAGAAGACTAGTAATATTAAACAGAAAAAAGATTCAATGGATTTTGATCAGCTTGACTCATGAAAACTATTCAAAATTATCCAATTATCATCGAATGATAAAAAAATAAAAGATTGGCATTAAAAAAACCATAACAGTATTGACAATTTTTTTAATTTAACCTTAATTTCATAATTTCTAGAAAATTAATCAAGTCCGGGGTTTTGGGGTTTTGGGGTTTTGGGG